TGGTCTGAGACTGGTTTACATTACCAAAGGACTGGACCAGTGTTTTTCACTGTGCTCTGCTAAGCAAAGGCAGGAGCCCATCATAGGTTACTGAATGTAAAAGACGTATATGTGTAACTGACCCCTAGTACTCACCTTCTTTAAAAGAAAATACCAGCCATCCTGAAATGAATTACTGGTTAACTACTATTAATATGCCATAGAGTCGGAGAGTCGTCTACAACACTGAAAGATCAATACCAGTATTTATTGTGCATCATATTGATCTTCTATGAAAGAGTGGGCCATATTTCACACTGTGTACATAGTGCAAAAAAAGTAGCATCGGTTCCCTACCGGACTTAGTAAAGACATAGAAAAGAACTTAAGAGATCCAAGGGCACAGCTGCATGAAGAGGTACTGTTGTCTTTGCTGTAAAAGTGTTGCTCAGGGATGAAGAGCCTGTGGTGGCCCTACTTAGTAGACTTGGCATTCCAAAATCTGAGTGAGAATTTAAACTGCTTTATTTTTTTGTTACTGTTACTCTATTTTCTGTACCTCCTTGTACAGGCTCAGCCCCGTTTTTGATCATGTTGTATTTGCAACTTCCAGAATATTAAATTTGTGTGTAATAGCAAGGGAAAGGCCCGGGTGCCCTTCCTGCTTTTTCCATCTAGGGAGTGAAGACAGCCAGGTCATAAGCCCAGCTCCTGCAACAGATCTCATATTTTTAAGTGGAGGTGGAGGGACAGAGTGGAAGCTTGACAGTGCAGTAGGGGTTACCTTATTGAGAGCTTAATTTCTCTCAAAAATTTCACCCTTATATGCAGGTGTTCTAATGCTGCAAGCTCTAAGGCAGAGGAGGGCCCTCTTCTTGCCAGGAGAGCCATTCAGCTGTGTTGAGTTTGGAAGAAGGAAAGAAATCAGCTGAAAGCTGCTTCCTTAGCCTTGGTGTTCTCTACTTGCTGGCAGAAAACAGTCACAGTGACAGGCTGACAGCCTCTCTTGAGAAGAACACTTTGTTGGGTGGCTGGAGGCATGGCTGTAGGAAGGTTCAGCCAGTAGGCAGGAGTCTACCCTTAGAGGTGTGGGCCAAGGACCAACCAGAGGAACCCCAGCTAGATAGTTACAGATGTTGATTCCTACATATGTTCCTTTCCACATTTAGAAGCATGGTGTCTTGTGGGATTTAGGGAAAACTAACTCTTCTGGCGATATTTCCTGTGATGTCACAGGAGTCCTAGTTCTTCAAGGAGCTGGATGTGTCTTTCCCTTCATTTGAACTTTTGCCTTTCCCTTTGCTCATATTTTTTGTTGTTAATCTCCTGGGGCACATCTCTGTGGTGAGGCCCTGCGGCTCAGAATGGTTGTGTGCTGGAGATGCTACAAGGACCAGGGATTTCATAACTCTGTGTTTATAAGGGAAAAATGCCCCAGGCTGCTGATGCTTGGGGATTTATGCATATGGGTGCCTGAGTGGCTGAATGAACCATCTCTGCAGACCAGCTTTGGAGATAGCAGCTGATAGTAGTGTAAAGACTTGGAGCATGGAGTGATGGCTGAAGAAAGCAGAGAGCACTTCCGGTGGGTTTTAACAGCCCTGAACTCTGAGCCACTGGTGGGTGTTCTGCAGCTACCTAAAAGAAAATGTGGAACAAGTCAAACCTTTTGCGCTGCTGGTGCCAAATGATGGTAGCCCAAACCACAGATAGAAGATAAAAAGAGAAAAGAAGCATCAAAAAGCTTTTTCTTTTTCCTCCTCCTTAATGCAGCAGAATACTGCCACTGCTGCTCTTCAGGAGGGAGCTGTAGCACAGCTCCCTGTAACAGCCACTGGAATGTCACAGAAGCGTCAGGAATATCAGGAATGGTTGTGTGATTTGGTGGATAGCTATGGGTAGGTTTCTGTTCTAGTCTAGCCCATCTTGTCCCATGTTAGGAAGTGTACTGAGTAAGAGCTTTCCAAAAGTTGCAACAAAAGCTGTTACTTTCTCCCCCTCTCTTTTAGCTGCTGGCACCCACAGTGACTGATCTCTCCTGAGTATTAGAGAATCAGAATCACAGAACCATTTGGATTGGAAAAGACTTACTAAGATCATTGAGTCCAGCCTTTGACCCATCACCACCTTGTCAACTTGACTATAGCACCGAGTGTCACATCCAGGCATTCCTTGATACCCTCCTGGAATGTTGATTCTACCCCCTCCCTAGGCAGCCCATTCCATTGCTTAACAACCCTTTCTGTAAAGTTCTTTCTGAGGTCCAACCTGAACCTTCATTGGCACAGCTTGGGGCTGTCTCCTGTCATTCTGCCACTTTGTACCTGGGAAAAGAGTCCAGACCCCACCTGGGTACAACCTACTTTCAGGCGGTTGTGGAGAGTGATAAGGAAGCCGCCTTTACTCCAGCCTAAACAACCCCAGTCACTCCTTCTAGGACAAGTGTTCCAGAACCTTCCCACTCCATTGCCCATCTCTGGACATGCTGCAGTACCTCAATGTCTTTATTGGAGTGAGGGGCCCAGCTGAATGCAGCACTCAAGGTGTGGCCTCACCAGTGCTGAGTACAGGGAACAATTCCTGCCCTGCTCCTGCTGGCCACACCATTGCTGGCACAGGCCAGGATGCCATTGGCCTTCTTGGCCACCTGGGCACTGCTGGCTCATGCTCAGCTGCTGTCACCAGCACCCCCAGGGCCTTTTCCTGGGGCAGCTTTGCAGCCACTCTGCCCCAGCCTGTGGCACTGCCTGGGCTTGCTGTGACCCAAGGGCAGGACCCAGCACTGGGCCTTGTTGAACCTCACACCACTGGGCTCAGCCATGATCCAGCCTGTCCAGATCCCTCTGCAGAGCCTTCCTGCTCTCCAGCAGATCAGCTCTCCTGCCTGACTTAATGTTGTCTGTGGACTGACTGAGGATAATCTTGATCCCCTCATCCAGATCATGCAGGTGTAAAAAGACCTTATCTTTCTGGTGCTAGTATTTTTAATGGGGAGTAGTAGCCCTTCTGATGATGCATTGTAAATTGAAAGACACTGCAGAGATTTTAGAAGAAATCACACATTTGTGCAATAATGCAGACTTGTTCAGCAGGTGACTGCCTTGCCTGTCTCTGTCATGTGAAATCTGTATCCCAGCAAGGAATGTGTTGGAGGATTTTGCTTTTGGCTTCTATTTTGCAACATTTGAAGCAGAGCAACTGGAATGCAGCTTTATTTGAGAGCTAAATTTAGGGAGGGGAGTCAAGCTTGTGCTGTGTCTATGATCTAAGTTCTGATTTTACCAGATGCAGACAAAAGGATCTAAGAGTCTTGCCTAAAAGCAGGATAATAAATTTAAAAATAACAAAAATGAAAGCGCAGAAACCCTGAAAAGTCTTCTGTGGCTTTGCAGGCTCTTCTGTTTTGCGTGCAAAATCGAGAAATACTTCACATAAACAAGGCCAGCTGACATGGTTCTGCAGAAAAATCAGGTGCGGGAAGCATAAAACAGTCTTTGCTAATAAACAATTCATTGATGTCAACAGAACGGCAGCAAGAACTGGATGGGGGCACTGTGTAATTTAGTGACCTGGAAGTAGATGATCCATGATTGCAGAAAGCTTTCATTATAGCTGAAGAAGTGAAACAAGATTGCATTGTAAATAGCAAAAATAGGTAAAACTGATTATTTGATCTAATATGCAGCTAATACACAGGACTGTAGATGTTGTTATCATGACTCTGAGAGGCTGGTATGCCACTATATTCCTTCCACAGGTAAGTAACCAAGATACAGGTACACCAAGAGAAAGATCCAGAACAAACTAGACCTGGCTGAAATGTATTCTCTTAGGGCTGTTATTTCCTCTGTGCCTGTTGCCCATGCTGCTTCATGTCCATACCAATAGCTCTTGGGAGCTCATCCATATGTTTTAAACCACATTGTTTTCTTCTCTGCAAAACAATTGGACAACATCATGGGGAGAAGAGGAGCTCCTTACAGAGAACTGGTACAAGGCAAGGTCACAGACATGCAAACTAGAGCCAGAACTACAGATGTTGAGGGATCTGGATGTTGGATTTTTTTTTTCCCCCCGTAAATGTATATATAAGATTGTGGTAGTTTTTTGTTGTGTCTGGCTTGGCAGTGTAACTGATGGCATGTAGGAGAGAGACCTTGGGTGTGCAATAGTACCAACAAGCACCTTCTGTTTTTTGTGCTTGCAAATATTGCAGGACCCTGGTTGACAGTAGAGTGGGGAGATCATGGCCTCTCATTGTCTGAGAAGCATCCCCATCTTAGGGAATGACAGGGAGGCAGACCTCGCCTGTGGGGAACGCAGCCAGCTAACCCCTGATCTGGAGGCAGTCCAGAGTGGATGCAGCAAGTCACAAGCAGTACCTTTCTCCTCATTCTGTTTTGCTAGTGGTGTGGGATCTTGTTTTGCTTGGTGATTTTCTAGGTACAGGAGCTAAATGTGGGATTGAATTCTTGGCAAGGATTGAGGACCGTACTGCTCACAGGTAGTGTGTGGGTTTCTGGGACACCTTGGCTGTTCCTGTGGTATTTTGCCCACTGCAGCTTCTCTTGCCTTGTGGCTGTTTGCCCCTCGTAGAGGCATGTTCAGAAGGTGTCCTCTCACCTTCTGGACGCTGGCTGGGAGGAGTCATTCTGTAGCTAAATCCTTTCTGCTTCTAGAGAGTTACAAGAGACTTGGCACACTGTTACAGATTAAAAAGTAGTAGGGGACTGCAGAGTTAGGTGATGTAAATCATTGTCCCCATCAGTTGATACTGATTGAGGATTCAGAGCATTGTTTTAACCTGCATTTGGTTTTGTCTGCTGTTTTGCAGACTGTGGTGTGTGTAGGTGGCAGTCTTGGACTGTGAGTAATTCTTGGTCCACTTGAGTTTCCACCAAACACTGAGCCATGTTTAGCTTTCAGCTCCTACTTCTTATTTACCACTGTCTGTCCAGCCTTTGGGAGGAGTAGTAGCTCATTAGAAGGTGGAAGATAATGGTCTTTTTTTTCTTTTCCAGAGGGACGGATGCTCATTCAGGACATCCCTTCCATCCCCAGCAGAGGGCACTTGGAGAGCACATCTGAGTTGGTTGTGGACTCCGCCTACTACAGCAGTTTTTACCAGCCATCTCTGTATCCTTGTTATAACAACCTGTACAACTACTCCCAGTACCAGATGGCAGTGGCCAGTGAGCCTTCCTCCAGTGAGACAGGGGGCACAATTGTAGGGTCGGCCATGAAGAACAGCCTTCGAAGTCTCCCAGCAACATACATGCCGAGCCAGTCAGGAAAACAGTGGCAGGTATGATCTCCTCTTTGCTGGTTTCGTGGCAGCGCAAAACCAGAATCATATTCCAGGGTGGCATTAGGACCCATTTTGTGAAAGTTAGACAAAATGTGTGGTTGCAATGCAGCATAACAAAAGTAATTACATAGTTGGACAGTGATAATGGTATGCATAAATTGCCACAAGCGCAAAGGGCACTAACTTGATTTTATCTTCTGTATTATGTGACAGTAGATTATTAATTGTTTTCCAGAAAAAAAGACTCCAGTATAACATCCTGAGAGCCTAAGGTGTAATTTCTGCGAGGCTTTGCTCTTTAGAAGCATAGGCTTTTTCCATGTTTCACATCCAGTGTGCTGAGGTGACCCAGGAGACCTTGCTGTTGTGCAGCAGTTTGGTTGCAGTCAGTTGAATGTGACGTGGCATATTGTTAAGTTGTGTGTTCTGGTAATTGGTAAGTCCAGAGCTCATGATTTTTACTCATGTAGTTCAGGTTGCAGGCAGTACCTGAGAGTTTCAAACCAGAGCTCTATGTACTTTGTTAGGATATAAAGCAAATCAAGCCTTCGCACTCTAGGACATGATAATTGTAGCATCCAACTCAGTCAGAAACTGGAAAAAGGGAAAATCTGCCAATATGGGGGATTCTTGGCAAAGTGGAAACATTTCAGTAACTCTGGGACTATTTGATTTTGGACTGCAGAGATGCTTTTCCTGTTTGAGACTGAACCGGTACAGCTGTACCCTCTGAGTCTGCATGTGCCTGTGTCCCTTGTGTAAGGACAGGAGAGGGCAGACCTCTTCTGTAGAGCATCAGGACAGGGCAGGCTGCTTCTGCAAAGGCTGTGTTGTGAAACCACTCAACAGTGAAATGTCCACCAAAACCTCCTTGTGTAAGTGAACAGAGGTCATCCTGTTTGCTGACAGAGAGTTTCTCTAGCCAGGTTTCTCTGGCAGAGGGACCAGCTCTGAAAGGGCATTTTAATTTTTGATACCAAGGAGCTGAAAGTAATGCCAGGGTGATTGCAATTACTGTAGCACTTATCACTCTTCCACATCTCTTTTTCTGCTGTGAGTACAGCTGTATGGGATAGGGAGCTATCTCTCTTCCGTCTGTGGTGCAAGCCCATGCCATGAGAGCTTTCTTCTCTCAGTGTGTTGACACGTGAAGGTAGACCTTTCCAGTTGATGGTGTCCTCTCCAGCTGATGAATTCAATCATCAGGCCAAGGGGAAAATTAGTTAAGGCGAGTTACAGGATTTTGTGCATGGTAATGGTGTGAGGTGCCAAGTGCTTTTTCAACTTTTTTATTTTGGTTGATTGTGTTAGTTTGGTGCAGCAGAATGTTTCAGATAGGAGGTTACTTCTCAAGCATCTGCAGCGCTTAGCTTGCTGATGCCTGGAGACACCATCAAAAGACAAACAAACAGTGGCAACATTTGCCTTGAGAAAATAATGTTCTTGCAGGCTGCTAGTCCCACATTTCACCTAGCACACAGTGTTTGAGGAAGAGTTGTGTGAGTATGTTAAACCTTGGAATGAAGATGTGGTGCCCTCACTCACAGTTCTGTTGTCATGTAGCTGTAATGTATATGGAAAGTCTTGACTTAGAGAGTCTGTGTCTCACTTGTGAGATCGCCAGTTGCTGCGGAACCTTTGACACTCCTTAAAGAAGTGAAAACAGCTGTTTGATTTCCATAATTCTTCTCTTCAGGCCCTGCAGAAAGTAACTTCTGCTTAAGTGCCATTCAAATTAGTGAGATCTTGAAGGGGTAAGTAAGGAAAAAAACTACATGGGTGTTGTCAAAAAGGATAGTTTTCTTTACCCCAGAAGGCTCAAAGCTGTGGATGTCTCTTGTGAGATATACCACATTATTCCATTCACCTTTATATTAATTTGTCTACCACATCTAAGATGTTAATTTCTCCAGAGCAGACCTTTTGGGATTCCTCAGTGCCGTTCTGATGTTTTGGATGTCCAAGCAGAGAGATAAAGGTGCTGCTTTTGGCCTGCAGAATTGATGTCTCCCCAGCTTCTAAATATCATGAAACCAGGATCAACTTCTCCTCTGACACAGGGCAGGGTGTAGTTCAGGGTCAGTGTTTTGAACTTTACAAACTGTTTCTCAGACTGATCTACATGGAGGATAGTTTTTAGTGGAAGAGTTCTGAGTCATAGGGTTTGCATACTCTAACAGCGTAAGATTGCACAAATAATGATAAAAAGTTTTAGTGAGAGGCTAGAAAACATTTGATGGCAGTGGGTACAGTGATGCTGAGGTTGTAAAACCCTGTGTGGCACTGAAGATGGTTTATTGTAAGGGGAACAAAGTCTCAGTTGCTGCATGTGGTTTTACATCAATTCTGCACATGCGGGTTACCAGCAAGGGAAGATCACAGAAATAACAATAAATGGAGAATGAATAACTAATGAGCCTTTCTGTCAAGCACAGTAAGGAATTAAAGTTTCATTCAAAGCATGATCCTCAGAGAGGAGTCAGACCTTGCTTACACTCAGGAGGTTTTGCTGGCAAACCTGTGCATGGTTATCCTCCTCAGAGGAAACACGTAGCTGTTACCTACACTGGGACTTCTGCTGGGTAGCTTTTACTGACTGAATTTATTTTTTACATGTACAGGCTTTATTAAACCAGTCTCCAATAGAAGTGCATTTTCTTTTCTAACATGTATTGCTGTTAACTTTTTGATCAATCTTTGTTCCTTTGTCAGAATCATAGCTGGACAGTGCCTGCTGTAACCAAATTAGGGCAGCTTGCTAAGATGTGAGCCTGCAGGAGGTATTATTTTATGGTAGAAGCCATCACTGTGCTCACTGGAAGATATTCCAGTTTAAGCTGGGTAGACAAGACACCTGGCTTTTTCAGGCCCAGTTGGTGAAGGCTCACAGATCCTAGATTAACTTCAATCACAGGGAGAATTACGTATTTAACTTCTGGATGCAGACAAGGCCTTGAGCAGCCCAGTTGTCTGCTGTGTCAGAATTTAGGGAGCAAGAGAGAATAGCCGGGGAGGAAACATGTGAGTGTGTGTGGGATGAGATGAGGATTAATGCATCATTGAACATTGGCAAATAAACTGAATCACTGAATCTTTAATGTAGATTAATGTCAGATTTCATTAGTCTTTGTTCTTTGCAGGGGCTGGCATGCTCGAGTGGATTCATAAAGGTGCAAATATTTTATGTATTTCTCTGTAGGTTTTCCTCATCTATATACAGTCACACCAGAAGTTGTATCTATCATGATTTGATAAGTGTAGTGAGCATTATTGTTTTGGTTGAGGCTCCTTTGGTCATTTATATTCTGCTGCTCCTTCCAGCTCTAAGGCAGATAATCACCTATGTCTGTTGTTGCACCTGAGGAAGAGACAAGCCTAGGTTGGCAGGAAATGTAGCAGATTTGGTGGTTACTGTACCTCTCCTTTCCCTGTCCTGTGTGGGCATCTAGAGTTTCCCTTGAAGCTCTTGTAATTGCTCATTACAATGGGAATTTGTGTGCATTCCACCCACTTCCATCCAGTTAACAGTAAAATCAGTAAAATCAGTACTTTGCCAACATAAGTACTGCATGTCAGAGTGGGTTGGTGTACTTGAAAGTTGGTGCTTCTGAAACTGGTCACACTGCAGTGGGAGAATATGGGGTGATAGCAGCCTTTTCTGTCACAGCAAAAGTAAAGCCTTGTTGGACACATCTGAATCTAATCAGACTTAATTTTCAAAGCTGACAAACTGCTGGTGCATGATCCACAGCACAAGTCTGATCTGGACTCATTGTGAGTCAGCATCATGCCCCAGAAATGTTAAAACTTCTGGTACACGCAGCTAAACCATTAAAAATTGGCAAGCATACAGAATGTGCCCCCACACCTCGGGACCAGTGGCTGCTTTTTCTTTGGTATTCTGGTAACTCCAGGTATCCTGCTCCTGGAAAGGTTAAGGCTGGTGTGGACGTTTTAGACACATTTCAGAACTTCAGCTTTCCTTTTCCTCTTCCCTTCCCCTTCCCGGAACTTCCCATTCTTGGCAAACCAGTGTTCTCACTTTGAGAACCTTATCTTTTTTGTTCTTTCTTTACACCAGTTTAGAGCAAAAATAACTTGTGAGAAATTTTGACTTGCTTTCTAGTGTGGGATTTACGTTTACCATCTCTAAACTATTTAGTATTGCTGCTGTAGTAAACTGCTTTTTAAGGATTTCTTAGAAGTACCAAAGATTTCTTAGAAGTACCAAACCTAGGAAAATTCTCTTACTAAATCCAGAAGAGTGTGGCTGTGACAGGACAGCTAGGAGGTTGAAGAAAAGCTACTTGCTAATAAAAAAAAATCTCTTTTCAACTTTTTCCACCTGCTTCTGCTTTCTGGCACAGTTTTTCCTCCAAAAAGCCTGTCTCTCTCATAGAAATTGCAGTCTTACTCTCCAGAAGTCAGTGTAGGATGTGTGCATGTGTGTGTAAATATATACACATTGTGCAAGTCACCCAAGACAGTCCCAATTTTATGTGTAAGCAGTGAATTATATACTGTATTCATAACATACCCTTCACACTACAGATTTATGCTAAAAGTATCCTAATGTTTCTGACAGCTCATGTGTGACATGAATGCAATCCATATTTCTTGGAGGAGCTAATCTAAGTGGTTTATTTTCCAATACTGCTGATAGGGCTATATCTCTAGGTGTCACTGCAGTTGAGATTCTGATGGTAACATATTGTTTATGGGTCACTGCCTTTGTCTAAAAGAATAGGTTGGAACAGAATAGCAAAGGTTAATTAAGTTTGTCTATCAAGGAGGGACAGATATAGATGTGTCTTGTATTTTCTGTGCTAGAATCAAAGTAAGTCAAGGCAGGGTATCATAGACTCATTTTTTCTTTTTTCTGAAAAACATGCTTAGCTGGTTTTAGGAGTGAAGCACCTTGGGCAGTATGAGTGCAAGAGAAGTTTGTGAGTGGTCAGCATGAGCAGTAACATTGCAAGATGGGAGAGAAGCAGCAGACCTGGTTTATAACCGCAGAAGCTGAGGCAGGGAAGTGTCAAATAACTTGTCACAGTCACACAGCTCACAAATGACAGAGGGGAGGTTACTGATGCCTGAATTTCCATTTAATTGCCCAGTGGCTGCCTTCTTGCCCATGCCAAAAACCAACCTGTGAATTCTGTTGTTTGCAAGCAATGACACAAATGCAGTTTTATGCCCATTAAAATTGACTTTAAAAACAAGGCAGAAGCAGGAGGCTATGTTAAACTTTCAAGTTTCTCTGGTGTTTCCATAATTACTGAGTTTTGTTTGTTGCTGAGTCATGGGTGAAAATAAAAGTATGGAAATCCTGGGTAGAGTGACTTGGCCAAGATCATATGGCACACCATTGGCAGAGCTGAAGGATTGCACTTTGATCTCCTTTGTTGCTTATAAATTTTTGCAGCCCTTGTCACCCAGGAATAGCATTCATGACCTCCTCCTGTTTGTGTTTCTTGGAAACAAGCCCCATAGTTGGGATCAGCTGGGAAGTGTGAAGATAACCCTGGCAGGCTCACAAAGGGATTGTGCCTGGCAGCTTCTGCAAATAAAAGAAGTACACAGGTGATGTTTTGGCTAAACAAATATCTGGGAAGGACAGGATCATTTTCTAATCTCTGAGGCTAGAGAGGTGAGTCACCACTTGGTGCCTGCTTTGACACCTTCCTGTTTCTGGTTTGGCCACTTTCTCTCCTCGGCTCTTTTTCCATGAAGATATGTAGAGGTTATGCTGCCAGCTCGGGAGGGGGTGCTAGGCTTTATGTGCTCTTCCGCCAGCTGTTAAGAAAGGCTTTTTACAGGAATGGTCTGATGCAAAAACATTTTCCTCATGTGTTCCCTGGATTTTGCTATGTATCCTGTCACTTGGACATAGCTGGAGGGCTGCACTGACGATTTTGCTCAGTGATTAACAAGTCCTGTTTCCAGCTTATCTGTGCAAGGGCAAACTTGTAGCTGCCTCTCAGTTCCTCACAATGGCTTTTCAAGGCACAGGGAAAGAATTTCCTATGCACTCATGGCCTTCCAATCAGGCCATATTTATTTGTTCATGAATTTTAAGTGTCTCACCATTGCTTGCAGTACATCTTTTAAAACATTACTGAGTGTATGCTGTGTTGTACAATTTAGGGGAACCTGTAAATGTTGCATAGGCCAGCTGCTGCTCTGATGATATGTGTCTCCCACTAAAGTCTGTACTTGGTGAATCCTGCAGCTGGAGCAGGGCACAAGTACTGTGTGGCTGGAAGGGAAGCAACTTAGGAATTCAGGATACCCTCTGCAAAGACTAATGCATGCCTTTCCCTTCCACAGCTCTTGCTCGCCTAGCATATGTCTTGTTCTTTTGGCATGTAGCCTGCAGTGATACAAACTAGAGTGGTTTGTGGGACTGTCCCAGCTCATGCCTATCTCAGCTTTGTTGTAGGGGTGGAAGGGCCGAGGGAGGCAGGAGACACCAGAAGGCCAGGCATTCTCCTCCTGTGGTCTGTGCATGACCCCAGCATTCCCTCTAGACAGACCTAGCACAGAGTCCCAAACCTGATACCTTACTGTAGCGTTTGGAAAGCTGAACTGCCCCAGGCTGAAAATAATCTGAATATTCGAGCTTCCCCAAGGCTGTATTGATCTCCCTTTTTGGCAGTCATAAACCTGCAAGGATTCCACAGAGATGCAGGAGTTAATGCTGACCAAATGTCACTTCTCATGAGGTAGTGGTCTCCCAAGTCCCCTTTTTAATGCAGCACTAAGGTCAAGAATTTTTACAGTTGGTTGGTTTTTTTATTGTTACTGTAAAATAGGATTGCTAAGCACTATAAAAGGAAACCTTATGGTTCAGATTTACTGTGGTGTAGATTCTAAATAGTTTAATAAAAGAAAACCAAAAGCTCTTGGATTTTCTTCAGTGGTTAATACTCGGCATATTCTTTGCAGAGCTAAGCCTCTGGGTGTCGGTCGAACTGTGGTTCGTAGACTTGGTGAGGGTAATAAGATTATAAAACATGTCTCTTGCTAGCCAGCTACCACACACTAATAATAATAGTAGTAATAATTCATTGCATCTAGGGATTTTAGCTGAGTTGTTTTTTTAAGAAATGGAGAAAACCCCTAAAAAAAGCATTGAAAGGAGGTGGATCACTGCACCCGCTTTAGGCTGGGGGAGATGTGTGCATGATCTAGTTCGTGCCAGGGAGTGATCCCTCCATTTTGATACAGCTGAAATAATCTGTCTCCTGCAGGCAGCCTTTTCTGGGTTGTACGTGTGGCCTTGCACAAGGCAGAAATGGAGACGTGAGGTCTGGAGTTGCTGCCCTGCCCCACCAAGGGAAGGAAAACAACACGCAACACACAGACAGAGAACAACTGGCTAACTTTTTATTCCCCTGGTACTTCCAGAGCTGTTGAGCTTTGCAGATGTGCAGATTCAAAATGCCCTTTGGACTGTGCTTTTGGGCGATGTTTTGTTGAGGGAGTCTTGTTTCCAAAAGGGAGAGTGCCCTTTGGCAGAAGAGGAGAAGCAATGTCAGTAGCTGAGTTCAGACTTCCTCAGGATGACTCATTAAATTTTTGAAAAGCAATTTACTGTCTACTCTGGATGAAACTTCAGTGTGTGTTGAGCTTTTTCTGCATGTGGAAGTAGAAAAACAAAAATTTTAAGTATTGCTTTAATTTATAGGAGAAAAACTCTTAACTTTTCACAGGCTAAAAGCAAGTCCCTCACTACATGTGCAAGTATATGCAAAGATGCTGCTGTCAGAAATCAGACAGAAGTGCACTTGCTTCCTGTGAACAGCCACCATTCTCTCTCTGTGCACGTCTCTCACTGAAAACATTCCTCAGAGAGAACCAACAGGATTTTATGTGCTTGGGCCACATTATTTGCAGCTAGGTGCATGAAAATGAATATGGAATTCTTACAGGGAATTCCCCTTGGAAAATGAGGGGTGGCTGCATTGTGGAGTGGTTCTGAGAGGTGCTGTGGCTCCTGCTGCCAGGAGCAGACCCTGCAGGTGTCCTGGCATGGGGCAGCAGTCTGGGACAGGAGGTGCATGCCCAGCCTCCCCTGCTCCCTGGCTTGGAGCTTCGCAGCCTGGGAAGGGCTGAGGGGCCGCGCTCCAGGGGCTACAGTGGAGCAGGCAGACCTGAGGTGGGACCTGGCTGAAAAGGCTACCTGGCATGTCTGCTAGCAGACACTGTGTAATGGCATAGCTGGATGTGCATTATTGTTGGCACTGCTGCTGTCATAACCGGTACAAAACTCTGACAGTTTGTCTCTGCCCAGAAGCTTTCTATCTTTCAGCCATTCACTTCCCAGAATACTTAGAGAAACCAGCTAGTCTTATCTTTCCTGTTGAGAATGTTAATCTTGTTTTGGCTGCATTTTTGGAGCACGGAGGCCATGTTGCATTGTAAGGCTTTGTAACAAATAATAGGAAGTGGTTATTTCTTTCATAAAACACAAATTTAAGAAAGCATTACCACTCCTCTGAGGAGATCAGTTTGGATGGTATCAGGGCACTGGAGTAGAAAAAACTTTGATTTCTGAGTGTTGCCACTTTGCTGCAATCTGTGGAAGGGAAAAGGGATGTCTGATTGATGCTGTGCTGACATGGCAGACCTGCTGGCTGGTGTCCAGTTGTGGCTTCACAACCAGCTTCTTGTATAGTCTAAACACAACTTACTTTTTTTCAGTAACTCAAGAAAATATTTTTCCCATCTTACTGTAAGACGGGTATTGTAAGAAAAACAGTGTGCTTGTGTTTGGGTGTGTCACTGCTCAACGCCATGGAGCAGATCCTGTGAGAGTCGGTCCATAGGACTGTCGTCCTATGCCACCCAGTAGGTCCCTGGCAGAGCAGTTGCAGCAGTCTGAGATGGGTTAGTCTTTAGGGATGTGTAGAAGCTGGATGGACACCTCACCTCTCACTCTGGCCAGGTGTACACACTTGAATGTGCCATAAGCTGGGGACTTGGCAGGAAGCTGCTTGCAGTGAAGGGTACGTGCTTGTGTGCCAGATGCATCTCCATCTGCAGTAAGGTAAAACAGCCATAGGTCTGCTGCTGCTGCTGCTGCTGGGTCATATCTCACACTACACCACCTGTAGCTGGTCAGTGTGGGCAGACTGTGAAGCTATCAAATCAAAACGCCAAGGCTAGCATGTCAGAATGTTACTTCCCATGCACCCACTGTGACCTCCTTCAAAGTCATGGAGGGGTGGGGGCGAGGGGATAGCAGGGAGCCCCCATGGCACTGGGGCTTCGCTTTCACAGGCTACTGTTGCATTTCTCTCTCCTGACAGGTGAAGGGCATGGAGAGACACCACACCGTCAGCTCCCAGTACCGCATGTGTTCCTACTACCCACCTGCTTCCTACCTGGGACAGGGGGTTGGCGCTCCCATGTGCCTCCCCCAAATCCTGACCTCTGAGGACATCCCCTCCTCCTCAGAGTCAAAAGCCAGAGGTAAGTGCACCCACTGGGCATGTGTCACCACCTTGCCTTGGACCTACACCCAGGAGGCGTGGGTTGCTGCTGGCAAGGAAGCTAAGCATGATCAAGCAGCTGTTTTAAGGGTAGTGGCTGGTTTCTGGAAGGCTTGTAGTGATGGTGTACACTCACGTTGTCTTGCACTTTAGAGGCTTCATGATTCAGGAGTCAAATCAGTTGTACCTTCTGCATTTAGGTATGTCTCTTAAGGTTGTACAGCACTTGAGGTGCTGTCTTTGGTGCTTACCACCTAGCTCCCTCACAGAAGTAAATAACAATTTGTGTTCCAACCTCAGAATTACCTTTCTTCTCAGAAATGCTGTCATTTTTTTCACTGGCCTCCCACTGAGCCTTTGCCATCCTTTCTGAACCACATGTGGGAACTACTGCGTCCCAACCATATAATGAAGCCCCTTGTAGACTTGCTTCTGTTTTTTTTTCAAACTCATCATACCATGTTACTTAATTTAAAACTACTGCAGATAAGTCTTTCTTTCCATATTGTGTTTCAGGCTCTCCTAAGGATTACTGTAATCCGCAGTAATTTCCAGCACTGGTGAATTTACCCTGTGGTTTTGACAGTGTTTCTTGCACTTCCTTGTTCCCTTACTCCCATAGCAGACTGTGCTAGCACAGGTGTTAACATGGCTCTGCTGGAGTAATCCAGTTCCACTGAGCTGCCTCTCCATCACTGAATCAGGTCAGTAACTGATGCTGGAGAAATAAGAGAAACAGAGAACAAAATCTTGACACTCTTCAGCATTCAAAGTTATCCCAAGCCAGGACAAAAAGCTTTTCACGCATTTTGTTTCTCTGTACCAATCAGTCAACTTGACAGTTCCATGTTATATGCTCTGTGCAAAGTATTTTTTTTTTGATTCACTTTACACCTGCCAAGTTTTTTTTTGTTCCTTTTTTTTATTTCATTGAGTCACAGCACTGATAACAGCATCCATCCTCATTTCCTTCTCTTTCCTTCTACATTGAAATTAGTCTTCTCTTTCTGTCTGGTACATCTGGAAGGATGTATGTTATGTAGATTCCATCATTGTCCTCAGTCATGGTCTTTCTGTGGCTGAAGTCCTGGTGTCTCTTTCAGTTGTGTCATGTGGTTGTGTCATGAGAGGACCTTAGGGATCCAAGTGATGTTTTGGAAGGTGAAGTGTGTACAAAGTCATACTTGTAGCTTGTGTAAGTCAGCACTGAGCCCTTGTATTCACTAACAGCAGAATAATTTCTGTTGAGGAGGCGGCTGTTCTTTCATAGTGGCTGTTTCTCAAAGTCTTCCAACTAACTGTGGCATGTTAGATAGATGAAGAAACAACATACAGTGTGATGAAACCTTAGACTTTTCCTCCTTCTCCAGCGGTTTTAAATGGCTTAGAGAAATCAGTGATCCTTGGTTCATTTTCCTTCTCTTTTCTTCAACTTTATTTTATTCCCTCTTTTCTAACCACCAGTGAACAGTGACGTCTTCCTTTCTGCCCATTGGTTGGAGAAGCAGTTGGTTTTATGCTCAACTGCGGTTGACACTTTTTCTTGCATCCATCACTACTAACTCACTAAGAGGTCTTAGCAGCCAAGTGTTTTTAAAAATAGACAAAAGACCTTATACCCTTTGTTCCCAAATGCACTTCAGTAATTTTTCATCACTCTAGAAAAAAATTATACGTAATGTTCCACTGATTTTTAAACTGCATAAATACTGTATTTTCAATAATCCCTGACTGCTTCTCCAGACACTATTCCACACACAGATATTGTTCCCTAAGTTACACCATCAATCAGAAACCGACAAGCTGTGAGATGTAATTTACTGAGATCAAACAGCATTTTCCAGACTCTGAAGAAGTGTTTTTCCATAGCAGGGAGCTAGTGGGTGAAAGAGGCACCAATGTTTTTGGAAGAAATTTGAACCCATGAGCAGGATCATAGCCAACAGGCTTCTTAGAAGCATCTTTTTTCTTAGGCATGTTCTTGGAGGAGATGTTTTTACTTTTTCTGTCTACAGACAAAAGAATATCCATAGGAAATACATGATTTACTCTTCCATGACATTTTTCTTCTGGTGCTTTTCACAGACCTGAGAGGGTTAGAGGTTTGTTGCCTCTTTATTTTCACCTGTATGAGTGCTGGGTGGATTGTGTGTGTTAAAGAGGATGGGTCATTTCCCCGAAGTATTGACCTGCACTGTTGCAGAGTCTGGATTCTTAAGTATTTCTCCGTTAACCATTGGGCTGAGCTTTCTGTCCTGTCCTTTCAATACCTGACTCCTTTGTTATGAAGCCCAAGTGACATGGTTCTGCAGGGTTAGTGATTGGTACTTGCTGAAAACAACTCTAGTGTGTTTTTAAAAAAGCAAATCATACTTCATTCATTTCTTTTATATGTTTGAAGTAGTAATCATGCTCACTCAGAGTCTTCCTTTCTTTTTAAAAATATGTATTGATGGATTTTAGATCCGGAAGGGAATATTAGGATCATCTAATTTAATTTGTTATATAATGTAGGATGTAAAACTTCACCCAAAATCTTACAGCAAACCTGTGATTATATTTTTAAGACCTCTGTGAAGACTTATGTGAAGCCAGAAATTTTGCAGGAAGGTAACAGTATGCTTAGAAGAGCTGCAGGTCAAAATAAAAAACTGAGGATTTAGCCACATTTTCAAAACATCCGAAGTGTGCGTCATTAGCAAAAATGGTTGTTAATTCGCAGGCACAAATCTGCAGTGGTCTTACTACACACACATGCAGTCTGTTACCTGCACTTCAGCTGTACCTTCAGCATTATAGAGGCTTTGACAGTTCATGTGGTGTTGTGGTATTTGAGTGAGACCATTAACTCATTTTGTTCTGGTAAGTTAACTGCCTGCTTAGACCAGTTACAGTAAAAGAGATGAGAAATGAACTATCTACGCTTTCTTTCTTTCTTTCAATGAAGTGAAGATCTGTGGAAGCTTCTAGCACTTGTACAGGACCATCATGGCATGCTACCGTGTCTTGCATATAGTAATGGGCTGATGTCTTCTGAGTTGCAAAATACCATCAAGTCATCCTCCTTGCAGTCTGAAGTGTTTCCAAGTAACATGTTTTGCTTCCAGCTAAGCACAGCTGCTGCCATTTCAGCAGAAACTGGGAAAAAAGGGGAGAAGAAGTTGATAAACCAGTGACAAACAGCAAAAGGATGATTTTAGAGAGCTTCCTTAGGTCAACAAGTTTTAAGTTTTAGGCAGTAATTTCTAGGTGGGAGGGGGATTTCATACTTATTACTGCAAAATACTTCCTTCTTTTTTCTACAAAAGCAGTGGGAGGAAAATACTTATGAGAAGGTTGTCAAATGTTGTGCATGTACATAGAAAAGCATAGTTTTGGAAGACAAGTTGAGAAGTGGGGGAGTGGGACACAACAAGATATTTAATCTCCAAAACTCAAATACTTTGTTCCCATTGATTCCTGTAGGACAGCTGCATGCTTTTTGTTTGTTTGTTTTGGTTGGGTTTTTTTGGGGGAGGGGTTGTTTGTTTTTTTAATAAGGCTCTTTAGGTTTGGCACACTACCCAGAATAGTCTAACTCCTTCCACTGATTTTCAGTAAGCCTCTCCAGCATCTATTAAATAACCTGTGCAAAACCTTGGAAGCACATGCAAGGCATGTGCCTCACTCTGGGTCCTGTTTACACTGCATGAAAGTGCAGCATTTACTTATCTGTATGAAAGTGTTTACCAGGTTTGGGAAAGTGGCAGAAAAAATTAACATTCAAATAGAAAGATGCAAAGGATAAACATCCCTGTATCTGCAGACACTGCAGATTTTAAAGCAGTTACCTGGTCTTAAGGTTGGCATGGAATGAAACCTCCTCTATGTCATCATTGTGTGAAATGTTGAGATAATTACACTGTAATTATCTATGGATTTAAATTTTTGTTTCAGCTGCTGGACAGTTTTGAATTTTTTATTTTCATGTCCTAAGTGTCATGAGTGTTGGAAATACAAGGAATGAAGTCCTGGAGCAGTGCTGTGTTTGCATCTTAAACATTAAGCAGGAGTCTGAAAGTTCTCCTAAAGGCATGTAAGAAAAGACTGTTTTGATGCAGAAAACATCAGCAGTTTTGTGTAAATAAGCAAACATAATTTTCTGGAGAAGAACATTTCTAGTAACAGGTTTTCTGTGTCAGCATAACTACTTCCTGCACTGAAACACCTTCTCACAGTCCTTTCTAGAATTCAGATAGCAGGTATCCCCAGTTTTACGGTAGTGGAAATGAAAGCAACACAGACATTTCCGGAATCTGCATTTAGAGACTTAGCCTTCCTTCTGTGCTCGGATGCTGTATCAACAGCAGTACTGAGCCATGGGAGAAGCTGGGCCAAACTGGAGCAGCTCTGTAAAGAGCCTCTTCCTGTAGTTCTGCAAGAAAGGGCATGTTGGAAGCAATCTCCCTGCTTAAGATAAAAAGTTTCACTTTGTCAAAAGCATTGCTGGAATGCAAGGAATGCTCTGTGCCCCAGAAACATGTTTGAGAGATGCAAAGATTGGATGTTTTCTTCCCAGCTGGGTTTTTGTGTACCAAAACTTTTTGCAGCTTCCTATATGTCTTAATTTTGCATGAAAGTGTGTCCTAGAAGTGAATGCCATGACAAACAAGTAACACTTCACAGCCACAGGTGGCACCTGGATGTAGGTTCAGGGAGGTCAAGAAGTCCTGGTAAGCAAAAGAGACCACTGAGATCATTTCCCTGAATGTGAGCTGCTTTCTGCAAGCACTGAAGTTACAAGGATGGAACTGCAAACAAAGCAGGCTGGTTTGATATGGCTGAGAAATTACCCCAAAGAACAGCAAAAAGCCTTGCCTCTGTCTGCTCTTAATTTGCAGCCAGCTGGGAAGATGCACTGACAAAGCTGTACCAATAAAGGAAGTGGGAAACATCTATACCAAACAGCCCAAATTATCTTTTGTCAGTCAGCTAGCTGCA